TCTGCACAGAACAGATATAAACAAAATCAGTTTTTGGGCCAAGTGTTTCAGCAGTCCACCCTTCTAGCAATCACTTTATGCCATGGGATTCCACATGAGTAATTTTCTGAAAACCTATAAGGTTACAAAGGATTTTTTCAATAAGATGTCATTGCAGAAATATGAAATAGTTGAGTCTTGTGTGAAATATTAATAACAGGAGTGGTTATTTGTAACTCAAAGTCGATATGAATCTTGCAATTTAAAACAACAATTTGTATTTATGTAGCGCCTTTCAGATCAGGAAAATGTCTCAAAGAGCTTCACAGGATTTAATGTAAAGTGTATTTTGTAGGCAAACATGGCAGTCATTCTTTGCACCCAGAAATTTTCCACAAACAGCCATAAAGTGTGTAACCAATTTTATTCAGGAGATTGTTGATCGGGATTACCGGGAGAAACTCCCTTCTCTTTTTAAGTAGCGACATGAGCCCTTTAACATTCACCTGAACAGCAAGACATTGTATAATGTTTTAATGCATTCAGTCATTTGTTTCCAAATGCAATGGTTGCTCGCTGTAGCTGTGTAATTTAAAAGTGTATAAACCAGCTGAAAGATTGCAACCAAATAATAAAATTCCCAATTTGGTGCATTTCATTTTCATACCAAATGCATCAGAGAGTTGTGATGTGTCAGCCTTTATAATTCTGACGGATATTACTTTCATGAATGGAAAACACGTATATATTCCCCACTTCAATGGCAAATTCAGCAGTCAGCGCTTAAGTAACCTATTCTCTTAGTCAAAAATTATTGCAGGGCCTATGAAAATCCCTTGGCCACTTGACCTAAACTGGCATGTAGGAGGATTAGTTGTTGTGGCTGCATCTCATATGGAGAATTTGCTGGTGGTTCTCCTACTATTAATGTGTGCAAAGCAGCCTTATTGCTGCCCTGGTTCAGTCATTATAGCCTTTAGCGAATAGATTATACTCGTCACGTCAAGACAGACAGCCAGACAATGACACTGTACTTCAGAAAAGTGCAGACATTATTTCTGCACTTCAGATTAATAGGTTTTGTCATACTCATGAAGCAAAGCAATCAATAGCACTTTACTCTGACATCTACTGTCAATACCCATTGTTCCCATTACAAGGGGTGCTTAATAAATAGTTCTTCAAAATCCTTTTTGTTACACATAATACGCTGGAAGTAATTGCTAAAGATCACTGCATAAGCGAACTAACAATTGTAAATGTTTATTGTTTTATCGGGAGATTCATGCTATTCATTTTGCCGTTTTCCTTCTCTTTTGTTCACGTCTGTGATCATGCCACATTTGCTTTGTTCATACCATGCAGGTAAGAAATAGCAGGCTTATATGAGCAGTTATTATTTACAATAATGGGTCTAATTGTTTGCTTGCAAATGCAATGAGTGCTGTGTGTGCCTTCTTATGAAGCTATGCAGTACAGACTTAGTTGAAAGATTACAACCAAATAGGAACATTCCTAGTTTGATGCATTTGATTTAAATACAGTTCTGATGAAGGGTCATTAACCTGAAACATGAACTCACTTTCCTCTCTCTATAGATGCTGCCTTACCTGCTGAATGTTCCCAGCCACTTCTGTTTTTTATATCAGATTTCCAGCATCTGCAGCATTTTGCCTTTTGGGCAAACACATTGATATTTTGTCTAGTATTGAAATTACTGTATCAAAAGGCATAGATCTTGCCAACCTTGCTCTTTATTTTCATTCTGCACTTTTAGTATTTGTTTAATTTCCCACAGCATTTAGGACTAGTTTTTCAAAAGTGCGATTTTTATCTTTGTCTTGGTACTGCGGTGAAAATGATTTTAGAGAAGACAGAACTGTATCTCCACTTTATTGCGTAAAAAAACTGTGCACATAGGAAATATTTGCAATAGAGAATCGATTCTTAGAGTCATTACCTCCAGTGAAACTGACGCAAAAAAACAGGAAGATTTCAAGTTCAACCTCCAGTGTGGGTTGCTTTGATGCTCGCCCACAAAATATACAGTCAATTCACTTTACAGTATAAAATGGGAAGTGCTTTGAGATGTCTTGAAGACGTGATAAGGTGCTATATCATTATTATATCATATCATGTATATATAATAATTATTATTATTATTTATGTCTGCCATGGTGACTAACAGAAGTGTTACGGCTCTATTATTGCCTCAGCTGTGGAGGGGAAAAATCAGACAGAATTTCCATTTCTGGTTGCAAGCCAGTATCTCTTTATTGGAAAACATGCACCAGTCAGTGTTGGATGAGGATAGGATTGGGTTAAACTGTGATGTCCTCCATGGTAGGGTACTCTGCCAACAAGCACTGCCTGGGCTTACGCTTATGCATTGCAGTCTTTCAAGTCCAGAATGTACTCCCAATCAAGGAAGGTTGACCAGAAATGGGCCAAAAAAGAACCTTGGTGCCAGATCACTGTGGACTGGAGGAGGAGCTTACCCAGTTAGGAGAAGAGAAGGCAGAAGGTTTTGCTGCCTAAGGTGGAATGTAAGCTTTAGGAATCATTTTACATATGGCAGGACAGGCTTACTCATAGCATGGTATCATGTTCTGAACCATGGTTTCATTATGGTCAGATAACCAGAGAATTGTATGCATGGAATCAATTGAATCCAGAGCCTGGCTGTCATTTGACAATTCAGGACAGGCTAATGGGATAACATCAATAGCAACATAGGTCAGGACTCAGGCTGCAAAACAGAACACTTCAATTCAGCAAAGTTCTGAATGCTTAATGCGTTCAGGAAATATTCGGTTTGTAAGCATTGGCCTCAACTACACAGTCACTGCACTTCACAATAAAATCCTGTGAAGAACTTTGAGACATTCTGATGACTTGATAAGGCGTAAGTATTATTTTTATTATTTCAGGATTTCTGCAATTTTCAAATCCTCAACTACAGAATGAATTTACGGAGCATTTTCCAGCTTTTTTGGCCAAATGTTTGTGAGCAATGACTGCAGCCCAGCCTAACTGTCCTCCTGACTGAAGGAAACAATATGATTCTGAGTAGTGTTCCCCAAAAAACTGCAGAGATTAAATCAAATGGAAAAATACATTGGAAACTAATTGATGAAAACAGTGCGATTTCATTATTTAGCGTGCAAGTCCTAATCTCTGTCAGAGTTCTGAGGAAATAGTTTTGATTTCAAAATCATATGATACACATTTTTAAACCTCAAATAATTCATGTTCAAAGGATAGGTTCCACATGTGAACATACTTGAGCTCAATAAAGCAAAATGCAGACATGATCCAAAGTGTTTATCTTTGCACCTTTCAGAATCCCCTGAAGGGATGAGGCATGAGGAAGGGCTAGATTAGCTAGGGCTCTTCATCCGTGAGAAGAGACATCTCAGAGGGGACTGTATAGAGGTATATAAAATATTGAATGAGATTGAATTCTTAAACACAGGACAATGCTTTCAGCTACATTAAGGTAGAAGGGCAGGAGGGCTGGGTTCAGATTTGTGAGGGATAATAGGAAGCATTTCTTTACCTAAAGGGTAATCAACTGGGGGAATGGATTACAAGGAAGGGTGGTTGAGGACATTTAAGAAGCACTGCAATGCTGTAGTGTGAAAGAAGGTAGTATTTTTGGTATTCGGAACGATCAAATGGACTAAAGAACCTTTTTTTGAATCTCTCATTCGATCTCAGTATTGAATTAACTACATTTACAGATGTTTATGAAGTTCATTGTAATGCTAACCTGATTTAGTACCACTAGATGCCACTAGCGTACTTTTATACCTAAAAAATATGGTAACACAAAATTGACACGGCTTTACATTTGTAGTCTAAGGGAAAAAACTCTTGGCCATCTTGCTTTGTATCTCATGGCTGATAATTTTGGCAAATGTTAGCATGTACCTGGCATTAATTTTGAACTAGTTAAAGCTGTTAGATTATAGGTAGTCTTCCTGTTTCATTAATATTTTCCTGTGTTAATTGGCTGGAATGAAACATTCATTTGCCACAGTTTTATTCTGATTTCTTGGCTATCAGGACATAGACTTCTGATTCCATACTCAAACTGCACCAGAATTCGTGAGAATACTGGGGTCAAAAATGTAGTATTCCTAGATGAAATTAACATCATTTAGGGAATAGTATTAAAATGTGTTTAGAACAAGCCCCCACCATCTTACAACCATAATTAGAAAAATAATAGGGCCGAAAAATATGCATAGGCCATTTTGCGAGCCTACAAAAATATCTCTTTGGGCTTATTTATGGGATACTGCATAACTCAAATTGAGTTAGGCCATTATCCCCTGATTAAGCTTGGAAATGCCATTTTCATCATTGAAATGATCCCAGCTAAGAGGAAATGTAATACAACACAGCCCCAGAACATTACAGCCTGATTTGGGTGCAATCATTATTTATTAGGCAGGGGTGGTGCCTCAACACACTTTGACATTCATTGAATTAACTTTGTTTCCTTAACAAAAAGACTAAGGTATGTATTAAATCGGGTGACAGCCTGACTCAGCATTAGCACTATTGTCTCTGAATGAGAAGATTGTGGGTTCAAGTTTGAACTTGTTTCAGCCTGGCACCCAACGCAAGGCTGGTGGAACCTTGCATTATTAGAGGGGTCGTCCTTCACCGGTGAGACTTTAAACCAAGGTCCCATCTCTCTGTTTAATGGGACATTAATAATCCCTTTGTTCTAAAAAAGGGGGTTTCTCCCAGCGTTTGGATACAAATCCTCCAGATAAAATTGGTTGTTCACCTCCTGGCTACCTGTGGGACATGGCTACAGGCAAATTGACTGCCAAGTTCGCCTACAAAATGTAACATCACTGCTTGTTATAAATCTTCTGTAGCTTTGAGGCTTCCCCCCCCCTAATGTGAAAGACCCTACATCAAATGAAATGATTATCAGTTTATATTAGACCTCCCTGTGTAATGCCTTGCTTTTGTCACAAATGTTTTCCTTTTTTATTTCTCAGTTCTACGCTTGAACCACAGTTCATCAGACACTTCTGAGAAGAAAAGAGTTAAGAGCAGGCTAAAGAAATTTATATCAAGACGACCCTCACTGAAAACTTTGCAAGAAAAGGGGCTGATTAAAGGTAAGGTAATTGATTCCTAAGTGCAGTGCAACATTTCCTCCCTATAAATCTCTGAAGCAACAGTCTCTCTCATATAAAATGCATTGTTTATGCATCATGAGTGCTTTGCTAATGGATAAGCCATAGAGAACCTGTTTAAAAACTGTACAACGTTTTTATTACATTTGTCTTATGAAAAAAAATGCATTTGCATTTCAGTTTTTTTTCTATCCTTCCATTTGCAGCAGTAATTTCTGTTGCAATTCACCATGTAGAAGGGGAATGGAGACTGACATAATATAATGTTCAGGCACTGTCGTATCAATTTTAGTCCTTTGCAAGCAGTACATCATGACCACAAGATGCCTACAGTACTCCTTTTTGTGGTAATGAACACACATACACATATATTTCAGGGCACATAACTAGGTGGGTATGAACAATGTTCCTTCACCTGGAGGACCTTGGTTTGAATCCAACTAAGACGGATGGGATGAGCACTTCTTCCCTCTGACAACTGACCCACTGGGCCAAAGTCCATAGCACAAAGTGAACATAATTCTACACTGGCTGTCACTAAATTGGCAGACAGCATAGTCGTTTCCAGTGGGACATTGGTTCAGTAACGGCTGCTAGTCTGGTAGAAAAGTCACTTTATTTGGGCAGTGCAAAAAGGAGCTTTACTAAGCTTCAACACTACTGAGACAGCCCTGGTCAAAGTTACTCACAAAATCCTCTGTATCTGTGACTAGTCTCTGGTGCCTCTGTGTCACCTTTGATCTCTTTGCTGCTTTGTCCACCAACTCTTTTCCCTGATATGCGCTCAAGTCTCTGCACTTTCCTGATTTTACTCCCACTTATCCCAGCACCTTCCCTATGTTTCTTCTTGTGCCTTCGGCACTTTTCCTGTCTCGTGCGGGAGGACATCCCAAAGCGCCAGACAATCAAGAATATGCACAGGGCAGGGGGGTGGGATCAGGAGGGGTGGAGGGCAGGGAGGGTGGGTGTAGGAAGGTGACAGAAGGTGCAGTCGAAGAGGAAGGTCTTGTGATGGGACGTGAAGGAGGCAAGGGAGGGGGCAAGGTGAAGGGACTGAAGGACACAGTTCCAAAGTGTGCTCAAGGTTGCAATCCTGAAATGAAAGTCAGCTTCCCAGACATTGCCATGGAAAACAACATCCAGCAGTCCACCGCTGGCCCTTTCAACATGATAAATTGCTGTCAATATCTTTCCTTGGACATGATAACTTTTGGTACGCACTCATTGCTTCCAGTGGGAGAAGGAAGAATCAAATGACTTCCTTTTGCTACCATTTCACTTTACACACTGAATAACTCCTTTTTTTTTATATATGAGACACATCAATTTTACACAGAGAAATGTCATGCTCCATGTAAAAATAAATAGGATGTGTTACTGCGATATACAGTATACAGTGCTTCGAGACCTCAGGCGGATCACAGTCCAGATCTCCCTGTACTCAACCTTATGTCTATAATCTGTTCCGAGTCTCACAATCACGTACATTGGAGTAACTTTTAATATTCACTTGCAACCTTTAGAGGAACTATGATGGTATTATTCAGCTGCACATGTAACAATAATAAAGCACATATCTGTCCATTCTGTTTAGATTGCTCCACACATTAATGGAGACAGAATCTATGTGTTCAGAGATTTGATCTCATTCCCTTATTGAAGCATTGGAGAGGGTTCAGTTCAAAAAATTTAAAAATCATAACAGCATTTGAAGGGAATTGGATAAATATTTGAAGAGGAAACAATATAAAAGGTTATGGGAAAAGAGCAAGGGAAATGGGGTTAGAGTAAATGGCTCCATTGAAGGAACCAGGATTAGTATGGACGTTATTTTGAAGGAGTGAAAAATTCCAATGTGCGATGTGATAATTATCACTGGCAACAATTATCACACAGTCTCAAATTATCANTTTTTTCTCTCCAAGTTCTGTAGAGTATTATTTCCACAGGAAGAATGGAGTGTTGGAGAGAGGGGGCAGCGTAGATTTATTAGGAGGTTAGCAGGGATGTGTTTAGAACAACCACCCCCCCACCACCAAATTGGACGGGTTGAAGCTTTCCTCTCTGGAGACTGGATGATTGAGGGGGCAACTGATGGAGGTGTTTAAAATTCTGAAAAGATTTGATGAAGTGGATGTTATTAAGCTATTTCCACTTGTCAATTAGTCCAAAATGAGGGAGCTTGAATACAATACAATACAAAATTACATTTTGAAGCGCCTTTCGGGTCAGGAGGAAGGGAGCGAGGCAAAGAGAACATGGGGTGGAGTTCCAGAGGGTGAGGGCAGAGAGGCTGAAGGTCCGACCGCCGATGGTGGGGCGGGCAGGGAGCAGGGAGCAGACCGGAGCCTGTTGAGCGGAGGGAGCGGACAGGTTGATAAGGGGTTAGAAGGTTGGAGAGGTAGGAGGGGGCAAGGCCATGGAAGCCCTTGAAAGTGAGGATGAGAATTTTGAATCCTCTGAGGGATGGGGAGCAAGTGGAGCCGGGTGAGGGTGGGTGTGATGGGGTCACGGAGCCTGGTACGGGAGAGGACACGAGCTGCAGTGTTCTGGATGATCTGAGGCTTATGGAGGGAAGAGTTGGAAAGGCCAACAAGTAGGGATAGTCGAGCCTGGTTGTAATGAAGGCACGTATGATGGTTTTGGTGCCCTGAAGGGTGAGACAGTGGTGGAGTCGGGTAATGTTGCGGAGGTGGAGGAAGGCATTGGCACGGATGTGGAGGAGAAAGGACAGTTGAGGGTCAAACAAGATGCCCAGGTTCCTGACTGGCTTAGTGAGGTGGAGTGTGCATCCGTGGATGCTGATGCTGCCAGTGCCTGAGGTGTGGAAGCACTGGCGCGAGTCAATCAGAAGGGCCTTGGTCTAAAAATAAGACAGCTGGTAGCAGATCTAATAAGGGAATTTAGCAGAAACTTATTTACACAGATGATGGTTAGAATGTAGATCTCACTGCCAGAAAGCTGTGGTTGAAGCATAAACATCAACATATTTAATCAATGCATTCATGAGTAAGAAGGGAATAGATGGGTCAAAGAGGGGTGGAGGCTTGTGCGGAGTATAAACACCAGCACAGAATAGTTGGGCCAAATGCTATTTTCATGCTGTAACATTCTATGAGTGGCCAAAGTCACTGTTGTAGTTTCTGACCTGAGGAACATAGAAATTTAGAGTTGCATTATGAGATACCAGATTAAAGCAAAATACTAAATAAGGACTCTGGCTACAAGATTTGGAGCTGTGATGCGTCATGGCTCCTAATTTTCACCCTTAATTGGTGCAGGGAATTTCTTCTGGTGTCCTAGACAACAATCCCCCAAATAAAATTGGTCATTCACTTCAATATCTGTTTTGTGGGGATATTGCAATGCGCAAATTGGTTGTTGCATTTGACTACAAAATACACAGTCACTACACATTACAGTAAATCCAATAAAGCACAAAGTTTATTATGGTTAATACGATTCTCCAATAATTAGCAAGCCCCATGGTCACCATCTCCTCTGACTGATTGAGAGTAACAAGGGTTGTCAGTTCACAAGTTACACCCATAAAATACACCAAGCCTCTGAAACAGAAATAATCCAAATATTTTATTGAAAAGTACAAATGGAAGCAATATTCTGTCTTTTGTGGATATAAATATAGGTCTATAACAACCTGCCAATGCAAAAGGTCCATCTTTAGAAAACTGGTTCTAAATACAAGCTCAATAAAGGCTCAATCTGTTGCCAATATGGGTCCGTTGGAAGATTGTGAATGATGTCAGGTGACATATATGTACAGCTATTAGTGACAGATCAGATACCATCTCTGCACGCTAAGATATATTAGCGTAAAATCAGAGAATGATTTAGTTTAGTTTGTCCTCAGTTTTGTATTAATGCTATAACCGTATCAATCATCTCATCCTCTCCTAATGAATAACAGCCACAAAATAAACTGCTGCAGGATTATTTCCTTTAAAATGCCTGTTGATTTTCCATACTCAAATATTGACTAACTGTCTGTGCTTGATGAATGATTTACTGGGTTGATGTGGCCTACTGTTAGTCTTTAAATATGAATTTTACTTTTTCAGCCAATTCCAAATAACTGCACATGCCATGATATATTAAAATTGACTGCTTAAATGGACTCAGAGTGGAAGTTTCATTGGGTTTAAATTGATAACAGCTGGGCAGCCAAACAGATTAAGCATGTATGAACTGAGAATAAATCCGCTCTCTCTGCAAACAGTTCCCTTGTTTAACGTTGTCACATGCAAAAAAGGTGAGTTGCCTCCGAACAAAGCTGGAATTAAGAACATTTTTTTCCCGATTAATCGAAAACCCTAACTTGTCCTTTCGGTTAGCAGTCGAGTGGGAGCACATTGAAAAAATGGCCTTAGAACGACCAGATATTTACAACGGGAATATATTCAACAGCATGAGGATGTTCACAATCTGCAATCGCTTGTAATGTTGCTTGTATACCTGGTGCAATGATTTGATTGAAGTAAAAGAGATGTATGTTTGTTTCCTGAGCATGTGGATGAAGATTGTGACCTGTAATGTTTTAATTATGGCTGGTGTTAACTAAATACATCGTTGAAAATTCTGCACCTCTTGTAACTAAAGACATCAACTAGTTTGTGGTGTTTTCCCCTCCCCCTGACCCAAAACCCCGATGCAATACCTAGATTAGGGGTTGAAGTCACCCATTGTCATTTTGTTGAAAATTTATGACACTGCAGATAAAGCTGTGGACGGCTTAAGGTTTTAAGGCTAGGTTAAAACATTCGAAATTTCAGGCTGAATGAAAAAAATTCTTTTCAACCAATATGTTGGGAGGATGCCTCGAAGGGCTTCAAGGAATTACTGTAAAATGTAGTGACTGTGTATTTTATAGGTAAACAAGGCACCCAATCTGTGCACAGCATCGGCCAAAAAAGAGCCTTGAAGTGAATGACCACATTTTTCTTGGAGGCTTGTTTTCCAGGACA